AAAAAAAAAAAAAAAAAAAAAAAAAAAAAAAAATCAATATATTCAAAATAAAAAACACCTATTATAACATATTTTAATTTTATTTCAAAAATACTTTTTGTCCTGATTTGTGAGCGTGTTGGGGGGGGTGTTGAGTAGTGTACATAGAGGTGATTACATAACAGCTCAAAACAAAGCCTTACCCTTGTACATTGTGTAGGGAGGGTTGGGGGGGGAGAAATGGGTGTGTGCGGGTGGGCATGTGGATGTGTGTGTGAAGGTGGGAGTTGTGGGCATGTAGCTGTGTGAGGGTGGGTGTTGTGGGTATTTGAGGGTGTGGGGTGGTGTGATTTACACTGGTCTCAGCAAGACCTATACAATCAGGTACCACTGCCTGATACAGTTGTACCAAGTCATGGCAGGCAAGATGTGAAAATAGGGGAGTGAGACACCTGCTAAGTGCACAGCACTCAGACCCACCCTGGTGTGGCCACTTGGCCTGGGTCCCGCTACATCCTACTAAGTACTGATCTTATCTAGCTCATCTTAAAATGAGATTCTTAAGAAAAGCAAGACCCAGGGTATTAAAAAAATACCAAACAGCAGTATTCTCAGTAGAAACTGGTCTTAAAATTTTGCATGCAAGTACACAGAGTAGATTATAAATGGCTTTATCCTTAGGCCAAATTTGCCTTTTGGATATATATATAGAATATTTACAGATATTTAAAATATAATTGATATATGTTTAAGGTCTATTATGTAAATCCACATCTGGGACTTTTGGAAACATCAGTCTTGGAATGACCAGCTCTTAATATGCCCTTACATTCTGTTAGGAATTGCAAATGGTAGTTCTAATAGCAACTTAAGACAAATTAGTAAACGAAAAATAATAAAGTTTAATCTTTTTGATCAGAAGATTAAAGATAATATAAAAGGAGCAATCTCCCAAAAGGTATAAAAAGCAAATGTGGGGTTCTTAATTTATTGGGAAAGCCAAAAAATGTCATAACAAACAGAACAGTTCTTGTCTTTGAGTAGGTTCTACTTGGTTGTACTGTTCTAAACTTGTAAATTGCTATGTCAAATCCAATGGGTCTTATTTATGCCAATACAAAAGAGAAAATAAAAAACAAAAGCAATAAATATTTGCAATATACATAGATTACTTTTGGCAGTGCATATTCTTCAGTGAATTTGGTCAAAGAAAGCCTTGTCTGTGTACAGAGCTGTAGTGATGTCATGTTCAGACTTGGTCTTAAAAAAAGGACTAAGCTAAAAACATGTACATAACTTGCTAGTATCTGATATACTGCTACCAGACAGTTCAAATGAAAAAGCAAATCTATAACAACCGAGACCAACTGATGTTGTACCCCTTCAGCAAGGTACAACCCAGATAATTCCTACAATTAACATGGAGCATCTTTTTCACATACAGGCTTGAACTGAAAGGTCTTTACCCAGGATAATGTAAAACAAGCCACATTATTCTCCGATTGTTTCCTTTGAACTCCTGTCAAGTCTTCCTTGCCACCATGGATATTACCAGCTGACCAACATCCCACACCAGGATGGCATCCAAGCCTGCCTTACAAGCAAGATGAGCAAGATAACAACTCAGAGTACAGACCCAAATATATTACTGACCTTATACACTTCATCCTCGCACACAACAATTTCACTTTTAATAACCAACACCTCTTCCAAACCGTGGGCACAGCTGTGGGCACAAAATGGCCCCACAGTATGCCAAACTTTTTATTAGCCACCTGAAAGAAGAATTTCTCAAGGACTGCACCATCAAACCCTTGCTATACTTAAGATATACTGATGGCATCTTCATCATTTGGACTGAAAACCTGAGATCTCTGAATGAGTTCCATCAGACATTTAACAATCACCATCCCTCCATCCAACTATCTCTTGACTACTCCAGCACCAACATCTCCTTTTTAGACACAATGATCAGTATCCAAAATGGTAAAATACAGACCATGTTATACAAGAAACCCACAGACCAACATACATATCGCATAGAACCAGCAATCACCTTAAACACACCAAGAAAGCTGCGATACACAGCCAAGACCTCAGATACCACCAAATTTGCGCTGAAGAGGTTTGCCATCTCACCAATCTTTAAAAGGCTTTCACCCAACAAGGACACTCCTCCAGAGAGATCACACATTTGAAAGAGCCACCCGGATACCACATGAAGAACTGCTGCAGTACAGAAGAAAACCCCCCATGTATCGCACACCGCTGGTTATGACATATCACCCTTCTCTCGAACCTGTACAGAAAATCCTCAAACAATTGCAACCCATACTAGAAAGAGACTCTATTCTTAAAGAGATCTTCCCAGAGCCACCCATCCTAGCCTTCAAATAAGCATCAAACCTCACTAACCTCATCACCAGAAGCAAACTTCCTCAGGCCCAGAACACACCAATTGGATCCAGACCATGCCATGACAAGAAATGCAAAACTTGCCAACACATTTCCACCACCC